TCTTCTTGTCAAATGTGCTGTGAATATTCATGCCACGCAGAGGATGAGGCATAATGGTTTAATGGTATAACCTTTTTATTTCAACGGTTGGCCTCGCATCACCAGCTGTGCTACCTGCAGGGAGATCTGTCATCATTTCAAACATGATATCTTCAAAATGTAACGGGCAGACAGCCGTGACCTTTTCCTCACTGACAGACCCTTCAGATTTAACATCTCACAAGACATCTCATGAGTCCTACACTTACAATTTCTGATAATACGTTTAATTTCTGTCATTCTTCCAATACAAATATACATATTTTAATGTAAAACCTACATAATACAGGCTCAATATAGATGTTTTGTTTTGACATTGCTTTCACTTATTCCACATATAACTGTATGTTGTCATATCATTAGTGGGACGTAATGATGTACTCAAAAATTCTACTTTAAGTATTATGCAAATGTATACCTCTACCCCTTACTTTACATACTCAAAATATTACCCAATATAAAATATAAATCAATGAATAAACATTGACATACAATTATAGGTTAAAACAAAGTAGCACAAATTATCTCCACCTTTACCAGCTATGATAGACATGAATGCATCAATAATTATAATCCAGTGTGTCATACAATTGATTTTGAATTGGACGAATATCCTAAACGAGTACTTTTGATTCTGATACTTAAAGTGGACCTATCATGCTATATTTAAATAATATAGTGTAGGACCATACCTATATAAGGCATATTTATACTTATTTTTTTTCAAAATACCAAACAGATCATGCATTTTAGCCATGCCTCATTTCGCTCAATTTGAAAAATGTTAGCTCTGTTTTTGCAAGGGCTGATTCTGTGAGAACAGCACCATCTACAAGCCTGGCATATGTACTACAGCGTCTCCAGCGCTTTCGAACGGCAATGGCCGTGGCTGTCTCCTCCTGATTGGTGGAGTTGGCCCAATAGCCGTAGCGCCACCGTCCTGACGTCAGGACAGTGTTCAAATCTGGATCAGTTTTATCAGATCCGTTGCAGCCCCTTTTTTTAGAGATTTGGGTATGGAGGAAAATAGAGAGGGTTGTGTTTTCTGACACTTGGTGAGTTCCCTGGAACACCGGGGACACATATTCATGTATAAAAGACGTGCAAAAGTGCATTTTGCATGATAGGTCCCCTTTAAGTATTTTTTTAATCCCAATACTTTATTTGAACAATTTAGCCTTGCTACTTCTACTTATTCTACTTCTGCCTCATGTTGTTATTGTATTCATGTTTCTGTGGTCTTCATTTGAACTGTTGTTCTTTCTTGGAAAGCACTTTGTGAATTCTATTTCTATGAAAGGTGCTATACTAAATAAACGTATTATTATTTGTATTATTATTATTATTATTAAGTGTAGGATCTGAGCTCTCCTCCAGCTGTGTGTTTCATGATGTCTCCTCTCTCTCTCCCTGCAGATGGAGAACGGCTGCATCCTGAACAACACTTACCCAGCAGGCATTGCTCTGCCCAATAGAAACGGAGCGGCGCCCCCTGCTGTCCAGATGCCCCCTGACACTCTGTCCGGCCTCCCCGACCCCCCCGCCACCGGCTTCTACCTCTGACCCGCTGAGCAGCACTCTGTGAACGGCCAGAAACACACAGACTGGACCAGCCTTATACACACCTAGAGTACACCACAAACAGAGCTGAACAAACGTAGGCCTATTTGTTTCTGTTTTCTTTCTTTCCTTTCTCATTTGTCATATTTTATGTGTCTGTGTGGGGGGGGGGGATCATTGTGTTGTATTTCAAGTCATATTATCATACGAGTCCTTTGTTTACAATAATGCAGTCAAGAGTGCTCAGTTGAGTTTATGTGAAGTAAAACAGAGTTTTTCAAAATGAGTTTCACAAATCTGCGCTCAGATGCAACAGGAATTTAGAGTTGGAGGCAAACATGTGGATATCATTCTATATTTCAATCTGAAAACACATTCGTCATTTCATGTAGGTTTTTGTTTGAAATTGTATGTGTAAATCACAAATAACAGATATACTGGGTCAATATTGAGTGTTACTTTACAAATGGCATATTCCAGTTTAGCAGTGGAAGCCGAGTTTAAGTAAATAAATATCACTTGTCTGTAGATAAAGGGATACATCAATTAACAGAACATGTATTCATAATTTATAGTCATTTTTCAAGCAAAAATACCAAAACCAGCAAAACACATGCTTGTTCCAGCCCCTCAAATATAAGCATTTGCTGGTTTTCTTTAACCTTTATGGAACTAAATTGAATTTACATTTGGAGAAGTCGTGTACAAATCTGGTTTTGTTAATTTTCTGAAATCCTAAAGGCCAATGAATCAATTGGCGCAGAGAAACCACAGTGCAGACAGGTGGTGGTCCATCTCCAATTCATGAATGTGCAGAGTATTATTAGTATCTGAAAAACATCAAATGCAGTGATTATTGTGGCTTTTCAGATTTCCTTTATTTAAATATAGTTTTACAGTCAATTGTTTTGCTTTGTATCTGGACGCATTCTAAACCCCCCTTTATCCCTGTCCGAGCAAATCCATGGCATCGCTCATAGTTTTCCTCCGTGCTACAAGAATGTAATCTCTGTGATTTATTTGTTGAACTCGTAAAGAAGAAGATTAATCCATATTTGTTTGAAAAAAAAAGTCTAGAATATGGACATTATGGCTCGAAATATCCTGCACTTTATTTCAAGCACCCACCTTATAATGCAGATGTTTAGTTGGGGATAACAACGTGTTTATCTCTGAAGCTCCTGATGCTCCATGGACCTGTCTGCGTTTACTTTGATTATTTTGAGGCACATTTCAGGTGATGGGTTAATGTCCTCACAAGCACAAACACTCTATAATTGTTAGTGGCATCATTTCCATCTCTCTCCACTTGAATTGTTTTGGTCGTCTGGAGTTTTTCTTTATTTTATTTTGCTCAACTGACTTCCTTAGTCTGTTTTCTGTATTTATTAATAATGTCCTGCAGCAAGTAAGCATTCTTGATTGTTTTGAAGTTGATGTGTAAGACGTTCTCTTGTACAAAAAAGAAGATGTGATGCTTCGTCGTCCTCTTAGCTAAGCAGTGGTTGCGCTTTCTCCTCTGATGGATTGCAACCAGACAGTTTTAAGGAAAAGTCTGACATCTTTGGGAGAGATTCTTGTGAGCTGATATAAAAACAGTTATTTATATTTGTCTGCCCCAAGCCCCCACGTAGAGCGCCGGTCATTGAAGCACATTTGTGGCCAAACAGTGGTCCTCCACTTCATCGTCATTGGGCCCCAAATAGTATTTTGGACCAATAATATCAGTCTCACCCAGATTTATTCCCATTGATTTACACTGGGAAAGAGACGTCTGTTAATCAGCGTATTCTTTCCCCGCTAAATTATCCACCCAGTACAAACACTTTATAGCCACTATTCTAATCATTAGGGTAACAAGCGATAAAAGCCAAATCCAGAGTAATTTCCTCTTTTATATTGCAGTCAAAGTAAAAAAACAAACAGAATAATATATATACTATGTTAATATTGAGTGTTACTGGGCAAATAACATACTCCCTAATACCATACTACTACCAGTGGAAGCACAATTTAAGTAATTAAATATCACTTTATCTGTAGATCACGTGATAAATCATGAAAAGCAAAATACCAAACGGTTGCTTGTTTCATTTTCGGGAAATATTCTTGTGAGCTGATATATAAACCAATAATATCAGTCTCACCCAGATGTATTCCCATTGACTTACATTGGGAAAGAGACGTCTGTAAATTAGCATATACTTATTTTTTTGCTGAATAAAATACCCAATACGAATTCTTTTAAATAAAAGAAACCCTTATTTAAATCACCTGACAAAATGTGAGACTTTTCCTTTAAATGTTAGAAAGCTTGGCGATATGTCAGGTCAGTATTTCCAGGTCACAGCGTCTCCTAGCAGTTACAGAATGACAAACACTGAAAAACCAAATGTGAGAATTAAAAGAGATCTCTACTGGCAAGATACAAGTCTGAATGTTTTCTTGTACATAGCAAATGACTGGAAAATGATGCAGAGTAGAAATATTTTGAGATGCTGAAAAGAGATTTTCATTTAATTGTTCAGATAATGTCATTACTATTGGTATTAATATTATTGTTTTATGTTGAAATGTGATACACATGTGGTTACATGTCATTCCAATTGACTCGTTTCTTTCCCTTTCTTTTTACTACCGCGGAAATGTTTGCTATATTTAATATGATTGATGTGACTTATTAACAAATGTGAAAAAAAAGATGTGTATATAAAGGCGAACAAGCTTTGACAAATACAGGTATGTACATAGTTTTACGTCAAGTCACTTGTTTCAAGCACTATTTTTAAAACACGTTTCTTTGTTGATTTCTTTTTTATTGTAAATAGTCTCATCACGAAACACTGGACTCTGACAGCCGGAAAATGGTGCCATACTACTGAGACTTGTTGAATAGGATATAATGTTGGAGTTTAATTTTGTCTTTTGTTTAGCCACAGTAACTTTCAAAAGCTAACAGGACAAGGTGTATATGTGTTGCAGATTTGACCCGTGTCCTTTGCTTGTTTCAAATGTATTATTTTCTTCCTTTGAAATAAAGGATTTCTTCAATCACAAAAGTGAAAAACACATCTTGCAAGCAAATGACTGAACACTCATGTGTTTCCCTCTCCGAGTCCTCCGGTTTTATATTCACTCAAACAGCAGGCGTTTCCAACCTGTCAGTGACTCGTTACTGTGGATGTAAAGGTGCTATCTGTAGCATTTAACATTAATAAATCATTACCACATTAACTCTGGGAAGCCTGCATTATTACTGTGATCAGAGCCACTGCTATGGTGAATAAACAAGTCGTCAAAGCAACTTTTCCAACAGAGGATCGTAGATGTCCTTTGCCTTACCGTGGGGTATCTTACATGACAGTGGTGGGAAGTACATTTACTTCATAACAAATTGGAGGTACATTTACTCGAGTAATTTATTCTCATGTCACTTTACAGTACAATTCAAAGGAATAGTCTTTACACAGATTTAGTTTCTTTACAAAAGTAGATTGAACACAAACATGTATTATACAATAAGAGCTAAAAAGAGTAGTTGGTTGACAAATGTTATCATTTAGCATTCTTTTTTTAATATTTTATTTTTGAATTATTTTTAATAATTTGAAGTCCAGAAGACCAAAGGTGTAACTTTGGGCTCTGGGCAATTTTGATCATATTTCTCACTATTTTAATGCGAAAATAATTAGTTTTGGGTCAAATGCTCCAATTTAAGCTCCTACCATTGTTTTATCATGAGTAATACTATTTAATCAAATAATAACTTTTAGAAATACTATTACCTCAATTAAAGTCTTTAAAAGAGTTATGTTTCTCATGGGGTATTTTTACAGTGTTGTGTTCTAAAGTAAAGGATATCTTCTCCACCCCTGATGGCATCAGACCTTCAAGTCATGGCAGTATAATATACATTTGAACAGAACACTGTTTACAGCCCACAAACAAATCAATTGTCCTGCGAAATGTAAGACTTGTCATGCCAGTGTGTTGTGGGTATTGGCACCTTTCCTGCTCCTTGAAGAGCCCCTCATTTCCTGTCAACAGAGACTCTTGAATCCTTGGAGCCGTTGCTGATGGAGTCAGACGGTGCTGACGCTGCCATGCAGACCTCACTGTAACGCACTGTGATCCGCAGGCTGCCAGGGGGAGCAGAGAAGAAGGGACACACTGTCACAATATGGTCTTCACAGCTTCTTACACTTAGTCACACAAACACTGTTCAACATGGGATCCATTGTGTCAAAACACAGTTGAAAACGAAGTAGTGGTTTGGTGTTTGACACTGGCCCATTTTTTCACACCAAGTGTAACATATCAAGGCCCACTTATGAAACCTTATAGTATTACATCCACTACAGTTATATGTTTTTCACAGACTTAAATGTCAAGTTATGGCACTTTTATACACCTATTTATTGCATCTCTACAGTATGACAGTAGACAGATATGTACGATGATGCAGACCGGGATTAGAGGATTTCTGGTATTAAAAGAACTAAGTAAACAGCATTCGGAATACTTCTAAACTCTGACTGCTGTTGCTCTGGTCATCTGTCCTAGAATAAAGCATCAAACAAGAGATGCTAAAATAAGTCATTCTTAGTTTTCTTCAAATGCAACTATACGGAGGAAATAACTATGGTCAATTGCAGATCAGCCTGAGGCTCACTGACATGAGAAATCCATTACAGTAAACTGCAGAAGGAGAGGGCAGGCTGAGAGACTCAATGTCCAAATATAATCCCATTATTAGGTACCCTAGATTCAGATATGACATGCAGCCATGGTAGGGTTGATCTTGCATCATTATTTTTCAAGACAAATCCAAGAATAGTGTAAATGAATACGAAGATTCCGAAGTGAACGTCAGATTGGAGGCAGTGGAAACGTCACTGCGACTGTCCTGAGGGCGTAGCGGCATATTTCCAGGGTGAGGCTGGATGGTGGTGGTAGAAGGAAGGAGCGAGCTCTCCTTGTTTATGCAAAGACACATCTTGCCTTTTTTTAAGTCCAAGACGGAAAAAAGAAAGAACAATGGGACTAAGTGTGCCCCAGGGATATTGTTTTAGATAGAGTCAGCAGACTGCAGACATATTTAGATGACACCCGGCCAATTAGAGTCTCTCTGAAGTGAGAGGAGACGTGGACGAGTGAATCATCTCCACACTACATCTGCTTCCAGCCTGTCATGATCACACTGTGCTGTTCGTGGATGTCAGAGACGGATAAAAGAGCCGCCAAACAGCATGCAGAAACCCTTTGGCCTCCACAGTTTATCTTGGCTTTCTTTCACAGCTGACATTTGGATTACTCATTAAAGGAAATGCACATGTGTTAATAGTTGTGAAAAGCAACTTAATAAAAATTGTACTCAATATTAATAATAAAGCTTTATTTGTATACGTAGCACTTTTCATACAACACATGCAGCTCAAAGTGCTTTACAAAATGACACATCACAAGTTAAAAATAAACAAGAAATTCCCCTCAGATTATTTGTTAAGAACTTTAAAAAAGGTACATGCAGCAAAATATAACATTTTATCAGGTTAATAGACAAGAGGTAAAATGTATGATAATACAAATAAAATAAATAATGGTTTCTCTCTGACAGATAAGACACAAGACAACTGAATTGATGCAATAATATAAAATATAAAACAAGTAGGTGAACATAGGTACAACAGAAATACAAATAAAAAAATAATAGTAGACACAAACAGGGACGGCAGGTATCCAGGTTGGAACAAAAAGCGAGCTTTATTCATAAGCTGATAATAAACAAAGAAACACTAACCGGGTGAAACAAGGAACAAGAACAAACTCACGGCCAGGAACATGCAGGTCACATTGATTGACGACAATCGGACAAGGGAAAGCAAGACTAAATACACAGGAGGGTAATCACAAGACAAGACACAGCTGGAGAGGGGAGGTGAAACACAGACAACAGGTGAACACAATCAGCCAATCAGGCACAGGAGGGAAACTAAAGAGAGGAAGTAAAACTAGACAAGACAGGAAGTAACAGACATAACATGGGGGTGAACACTTTTCAAAATAAAAGTGGAAAATATCAACATAAACCCATAACCCTGACAAAATAGACTGATTGGGGCACAATTACATAATTTATTTGTAGTTACTGTTTACTGTTGTGGTATTTTGTCTGGTATCTTCATCTTCATAACTTCTTTCCGACTGTTGTGGCAGATTAGTTAACCCCCTTTCATCAGGGGGGTCTGTGGGACATGTATTACCTTACAGCCATGTTCACAATATAGCACAGGTGTTTTTTGTCCCTGATGTTCAGGTAACCTTACCAAGCCATCGTAGAAAGAGCAAGAAGAGATGCATACAGTACAACACCCGGGTGTAAATAGCTACAGTGCTTAAAATAAGAAGTGCCTTCATACATCCACCATAGGGGAATAATTTGACGCAGCAGCACAAGGGAATTAAGTTATCAAAGAAACATTTCCATAAATATCTATAGGCTACATCCAAACCCGTATCTAATGTGTAGCCCGGGTGTAAATAGCATTGTTAGCTACACCTGGGTGCAAATAGCATTGTTAGCTACAGACACCTGGGTGCAGACCTCGGACACCCGGGTATACTTATGCATGTTATATTTTACTGTAATATACCTATCCACTCCTTCAGCAGAATGACTACTTCTACTTTAAGTTTAGTTTGTGTCTGTACTTTTACACAAGCAGGATGTATTGCACGTGTGTGTGTGTGATATTTGCCTGGTACAGTGTGAGTAAAGCCTGCAGACCCTCACAGGTGTTTTCACTTAGTCTGCTGATTAGAGGGGGCGGGGCTTTGCTGGGAATCACTGAGCTCATGAAACAGGTGCAGCACCACAAACAGCAGAGCACACACACACACACACACACACGCACACGCACACGCACACACACACACACACACACACACACACACACAGCAGAGGTGCTAGAGGGGGACACACCCTGACTCTATCTGTCAGTGTAATTTGGTTCAATAACTTTATCATGAACAGCCCTGCCAAGGTGCTTTATTAAATAAAATAGACACACACACACACACACACACACACACACACACACACCACACACACACACACACACACACACACATTACACACACATACAATACATTATAGTAATAGAAATAATGTTGATTATAAAGTCAGTTAAAATGTATTGAAGAAGTGGTCTGAGTCTCCCTCAGTTGTTCACTTTGGGTATTACACTAGCTTTCAACATTTCAGGAGAAAAAGTCTGTAAAATTAACCCTTTTTTTGCAAAAATAACTGATACAAAATATTCTGAATTGACTGCTGGTGTCATCATTCATGCCCGAAGGAGAAAAGTAAATCAAGCTCACCTCCATTTTTTGGGGTATATCTCGACTTCAAAACACTGAATACAGATAGGATGCTTGAAGTATAGAGAGATAATATTATCTATCAGGTCTTGTAAAAAGGACTCACATATGTTGATTGAATGATTTCACTGTAACATACAGAGGTGGAAGACGTACTCAGATGTTGTACTTTGGTAAAAGTAGAAGTACCAGAGTGTAGGAATACTCTGTTAAGTAAAAGTCCTGCAATTAAAATGTTAATCAAGTAAAAGTACACAGGTGTAAATAGCATTGTTAGTAAATCAAGCTCACCTCCATTCTTTGGGGGTATATCTCAACTTCAAAACCCTGAATACAGAGATATGATGCTTGAAGTATAGAGAGATAATATTATCTATCATGTCTTGTAAAAAATGACTCACAATTGTTTTTGTTAAAGGGGCTAAGAGCTCACTCAGGCAGTTTGTATTGTTTCCCCCTTAATCTGAATGTGGTGAATGATTTCACTGTAACATACAGAGGTGGAAGAAGTACTCAGATGTTGTACTTTGGTCAAAGTAGAAGTACCAGTGTAGGAATACTAATACAAGTAAAAGTCCTGCATTCAAAATGTCACTCAAGTAAAAGTACAAAAGTATTAGCATCAAAATATACTTAAAGTACCAAAAGTAAAAGTAGTCATTCTGCAGATTGGACCATTTCAGAATCATATATATTGTATGTTTTGATTATAATGATTGATCATTAAAGTGTTATCAAAGCTGTTAAAGGTGCAGCTAGTTTTAATGACTTTGTATACTGCAGGAGCTTCTGAATTTACTCCAGGTGGAACTAAAGTCGTATTTGTTTCTATTTCACATCATTAATCCAAATCTGCAAAGTAACTAAAGGTATTAAATAAATGTAGTGGAGTAAGAGTACACAATTGACCTCTGACTTTTAGTGGAGTAGAAGAACAAAGTAGCAGAAAATGGAAATACTCAAGTAAAGTACAAGTACCTCAAAAATTGTACTTAAGTAGTTGAGTAAATGTACTTAGTTACTTTACACCACTGGTAACATATTATAGTGGGACGATGCTCTAATAAAGTACAGCTGTTCATAGTGATAAAGCACTCGTATAGCACCAATTCTGTGAATGTGTTAGAGCCTTGTGTTTTCTTTTGGCTTTCAATATGCTGGAACAAAGGATTGGAGACAAGAGGTCAGAGGGCAGCGGCAATAAAAGAAAGTGAAGATAGTGGGATTACAATTCCCCTTTAAGGTTCATGACCCCCTCCTCCAGTGTGCTCAGCAGAGTGAGGGATAATCTTTTTCTTGATTGTGTCTACGTATTACTTCCTGCTCACATCCTGCTAAACATCTTTGATCCTTACTCTGGATTCATATCTATAAAACGCATTTAAAAGTCAAGGGAAAGGAATTCTGATATTTAAGATAGATACAATTAGGACAAGAACAATTATAGTAAAAGGAAGGATAAGAAACCATTGCTAAATGTATATATAATATTAGATGTGGTTAAATAGAAAAGGAGCATATTTTAATAAACATCAGAATAATATGATGAATCACAGGATAGTTGTGAGTGACATGACATGAAAATATTGGGAGTTGAAGATTTTCTGTCCTCAATGTCATTGAACAAGCCAGAAACCAGGATGTCTTATCTTTTGAAAACCCTCCATTAAAAGTGACTTGGGTCTGGCATTAATAGATGCATAGGTTCCTCTGGAGCTGTGAAGTCTGACAGAATATGATGACAATAACATTATACAACTGCTCAGCTGTTATGACCACTGTTGTCCACCAGGTGTCAGCAGCACACAGTGAGAGGACAGAGCAGCTGCAGGCCTCCAGGCTGAGAGGTGGTGCGTTCAGGGGGAGGAGGAGAGGAGAGGCCGGCAGGTAGAGCAGAGGAGAGGCCAGAGGGAGCGAGAGGAGCGTGTTGAACATGGTTATCACTGGACAGAGGCCAACATGCAGACTGCCTCCTCCTGGCTGCTGGAGATGGGCTTTATCTCAGAGAGGTGACTTACCTCCTGCAATAACTCACCTGAAATGTGACGCAGCTCGAATAAAACATTGTATTTATCAGGTTTTAAACTCCCTTTTAAACATCCTCATGGACCCTTCATTTTATGGAATTGTAGTTATTGTATTCTAACTGTATTTTTGTCATTGTGTTATGTACCCATTCATTGGTATTTTCACATTTATCTTGTAATTTTACTATATTGTCAGATATGTTTGTTGTTTTTACATTGTCATTCGTGTTTGTTGATGTGTGAAGCCCTCTGAGACAAATGTGATTTGTGATATTGGGCTATATAAATACATTTGAATTGAATTGAATCAGTAATGAATTGAACAAGACTTAATAAACTGAATTGATCATTTTAAAAGTATGTTTTTAGGCTTTTTTTGTGTAATGCACACAAAATGTCCGGCAGTGGCTCAGTCAGTAGGGGCTTGGACTGGGAGCTGTAGGGTCACCGGTTCAAGTCCCCGACCAGACCTAAAATATGGAGTGTGGACTTCTACTTGGAGAGGTCCCAGTTCACCTCCTGCCCTGCCGTGGTGCCCTTGAGCAAGGCACCGGACATCCCCCTTCCCCCCTCACTCCCATTGCTCCCCGGGCGCTGTACAATAGCTGCCCACTGCTCCTAGTACTAGACTCCTGGTAATAGGATGGGTTAAATGCAGAGAACACATTTCACTGTGTGTGCTGTGTGCTCTGCATGTGTGACCATTACAGAGGCTTTTCATCCCTCCCAATTCTATAAATACCTTTCCCTAATGAGTTTAGAACACCAAACATACAGTTACAGCAGTCACTTCATCCAATTACAGAATTAGAAGTTGTTTTACTGCTCTGTCATAAACATAATATAGCCTTCTGCCTCATCTCCCAGGCTTAGCAGACACAATCTGCTACCAAAAAGATGATTTTCCTAAAGCCCAACTCAAGTGTTTCAAAGCCTCCAAGCCAAAAAGAAATCAACATAAATACATCCATTATGCACTTGTAGACAGAACACTAAAACAAAAAGTAAACCTACGTCTTGATTTCACCTCGCTCACACTCCAAACAAAGTCTATGTGTTCACAAGGCATACTCTCTGTAAAGCCTACAGTATAATTTATACTTTTTTGTATCAAAATATTTCAATTTTTTGCTGTAAAATAAATGCAAGCTGACTGACTTTCACATTTTACCATGTCAACTCACTTTTCCTTTTCCTTTTGTTATATAAATAGATGAATCACTGCTAAATGTTCTGCAGTATTAGCATCTGTCTATCTGTCTATCTGTCTATCTATCTATCTATCTATCTATCTATCTATCTATCTATCTATCTATCTATCTATCTATCTATCTATCTATCTATCTATCTATCTATCTATCTATCTATCTATCTATCTATCTATCTATCTATCTATCTATCTATCTATCTATCTATCTTAGTGTCATTCATTGGATAATATTGTGAATCACAGGATAGTTGTGACATTTACAACATTGTAACCCCACATTGGTTCCCTTTTTTGCCACCATCATGATACATTTTAATAATAATAATAATATATTTATTTAAATACAATAATAATAAATATAAATATATATATAAAAAATAATAATAAAGCTTTATTTGTATAGCACTTACACAGGATGCAGCTGTGCTTTAACAATATGTCATCCATGTGTGACATATTGCCCCATCTAGATTTCTAACTCCCCCATCTTGACATTTAATAAAAAATAAATAAATGATAATACCAATAGAAAATAAATACATAAATAGTCTATGAAAAAAATGAATAAAATAATAATAATAATTAAATGTATTAAAAAAAAATACAATACTAAAAAAACTGATGTTTGTGCTTGGAATTAATACATAAATGCTTTATAAAAAACACAATCTGTCTTGCTAATAAAGGGCAATGGATTGAATTGAGAGTGAGGCAGAGAGGGAGGCAGAGAGGGAGGGGAGGTACGGGGAAGAAGGAGGGAGGGAGAGAGACCCTGGCGGACAGAGAGAGAGGGAGGTTGGACCGGGAACAATAGAGAGGAACGAAGCCAGCCCTGAAACACCAAACAAACCGAGAGGGCGACAGAAAGAAAGAAACCCAGCGAGGAGGGGGGATGGAGGGAGACACAGAGAAACGGAGAGGAACATGTGAGGAATAAACACGCGAGGATTTTCCGGACGCTTGATTTCTGTCTTTCTTTGTCGGAGGATTGTATTGAACCGGATTCCGATATGAACCCTGCAGAAGCGGCCGAGGAGGCGCCGAGCGACCCCGACACTGATGCCTTCTATAAAACAGGTAGGGGGGACACATGCTGCAAAACAACACCAAACGCGCCACAAAAGCCCCATGAGAGTGTGTGAATGTCACCGGGAGACGTCTGGAGAAACACAAGAACCCAAACAGCAGACATCTGCAGAAAACCGCTGAGGAGCTGCTGTCACAGGCACTGCTGGGCTGATGGGAACCAAACACGGAATATAGAATTAAAACATGATAAAAGCTGCTCTGCATGCCTCTTATTAATGTTTAACATGCATTTACAGAGTGTGTGTGCGTGTGTGTGTGCTGGTGTGTGTGTGTTTTATGCAATTCTGTGGGCTCATGTGTCTGATGCTGAGGATGGTCTCTACAAAAGAAAGGGGAATCATGGAGGAATTACATCAGATCAGCTCCTGGAAATCTGTTCGATATGAGACTGAAGGACGGTTTATGTAGAGCAGACAGTGTGTGTCTGTGTGTGTGTGTGTGTGTGTGTGTGTGTGTGTGTGTGTGTGTGTGTGTGTGTGTGTGTGTGTGTGTGTGTGTTCGTGACTTCGTGTCTGTTGTGTGTGTGTTCGTGTCTGTTGTGTGTGTCATGTAGGTACTGATGCATTTAGATAAAAAGCAGCAGCTGATTGTTCATTCTGACTGAGCTGCATCTAAAATGGTCAGAAGGTGAGAGAAAGTGATGATACGGTGGAAGGCAGGATATTGTGTGCGTGTGTGTGTGTGTTCCATGCTATAGCCTCTCAAACTCACAGCAATTTGGTGTGTGTGTGTGACACTTCTACTAGAGCATTATACTAACACACAGCTGCAGCTGGCATCATTGATTAATCTTCTGGTCAATCTGCTTATTCTGTCCTGAGCAGCAATCCAGAATCTGTCTTCTGCAGAGATATGAAAAACAGATAAGAGCCTCTCTATGTCAGCTAGATGCGAGATGCTGAAACCAGACAATGTTTCTGTTTGTTTGTTTTACAATTGCTGCAACAATTAACCAATTAGTAACAACAACACAACCCTCAGCAGATTTTCTGAAGTGATTCAATCTCGTTGGTAATTCCTCACATCACAGCGACGATGAAAATACGATTTATCATTCCCTTAAACCTTCAGTGCAACATTTTTCCAATGCAAAGCGGTGCAGGGCCACACGTCTCACATGTGCTTCCTCAGAGACACAGTGAGAGTGTCACATTTTGCCCTGGTGACAGACTGACAGGCTGGAGGTTGTAGGGGTGGGTTTGAGAGGGAAGAGGGGGTATTTTTGTATTGTATACATATTTTTTCCAAGTAGACATGTTGAAATTAACAAGATCGGACACATTTTTTACAACATAGTTTACCATTTTTGTCAGTAGAGAGATTCAAGTAGGAGAAAAAGGTACTGCTGGGTACCAGAATTGTCAGACAGTATACTGGGAAAAGCAATAAGATACGTTTTTATCAGTTAAGGACACAGTAGTGACACATTATCACACACACACACACACACACACACACACACACACACACACACACACACACACACACACACACACACACACACACAGCAGAGGTGCTAGAGGGGGACACACCCTGACTCTATCTGTCAGTGTAATTTGGTTCAATAACTTTATCATGAACAGCCGTGCCAAGGTGCTTTATTAAATAAAACACACACACACACACACACACACACACACACACACACACACACACACACACACACACACACACACACACACAGACAATGAAACGCTGTGCTGGAAAACTCAGAGTCATTGAAATGTGGTTAAAGGTACAACATCTGTAGGAGGGAAGTCAAGTGTGAGTCCCAGAGAGCAGTGATGAAGAAACAACCAGTAATTCATGTTGAACGCTGCTGTAGTGCTGCTGATGGAGAGCTGAACAAGATGACGTGTCTTTGATCGCATCAATGCAAAGATATGGTCGATAGTTGCCTTGCATTTTTCTATAAATCATGTTCATCCTATCAGGTAATATAGTATTTATAAAGTACGGAACAGCCTTTCAAACTAAGGTAAAGACAAGTCATAAATACATTTCATTATGGATGAATTATCCCGTGTCTTATGTCTGTCTTACCAAATATTCAGTTTTATAAGCAAATATTTGGAATTTTCCTTAGTTACAACATTTTATTTATTATTAAAATCGTTTTCTATTGATCTTCTTATCAAACTATTGTTTATTTTGTTAAGTTAACCATCAAATGCACATTTTGTGTTGACATTTTAAGTTACGTGATATTACATCATCCCAAAGAGAAAAAAGAGAGTAGGTATAACTTTAATACAGGGACCCATTATAATTACATTGTCTTTTTCATAATGTCCGTTTACCGCAGTGCTGAGAAGAGGCTCCATAAAATGTCACCACACTTGGTGTTCAGCAAGTCATAAAACTCAGGTCTCTAAAAGCATCCCGCCCCCCCCCCCTTCATGTATAAAATCATTACATGTTCAGCAGGGGTTGAGACACACCCTGGCTTCATCAGTGTCTGTGCTGTGTAGTCTTCCTTGAGGTAGGAACACTTTCTTATGAGGACAGGATTCACGTACGGGAGCAAAATGTAATTCCGTCTGATATTTAAAAACCACAAAGCTACCTGCACATTAAAATGCAGCGCTGCGTGTGAGAGGGAAGCAGAGAGGGGTCTGTCTCCATCAGAGAACCACTCTGTGACTTCAGCTCAGTGGAAATGAGAGATTCTCCGCACCACTTCTTCATCCCTGAAACTAATTCCACATTATTGAGTATCTGCCAATACTGATATCAATCTGATAATATACCCCGCTGTTAATCAGCAGTTTGCATGATCCAAACATTGTCTCATAAAATAAACCCACCATATCTTTTTCATTTGACATCACTTCCTTTGCTGCCGTAATGGATTCCTCCGTGTGGAGCGCTGCTTCTCTCAGAGCTGAATTCAGTCTGCTGTCAGACTTGGTAATGGCATTGGACACACATGTGAGCCTCGTGCTGTCCTCCACGTGCTTCCTGTACAACTCTGTCGATTACATGATGCTTTGGCAAGAGTTTCATTTATGATATTTACTCTTGCGGCACTGATTCAATGTCAGATAATGATGAAAATGCGACATAAGATGACTATTGTATAGTTCTGCTTTTTGTGGTTTTCCCTTTCCTCTAGTGTGTTCATATAGGTTTTTGTGCATGTAAATGGTCTGCAAAGGCTAAAATCCCTATGTTCCCTCCAGAGGGAGTTTCTCTCCCACACACTCCCCCACTGCCTGAAACACCTCCATTGGACTCCTTTGTTTACTTCTGTATCATAGTGACATCACTACTGTATCTAACACTTACGGGGGGGGTACTAGTGGACTAAACGGCGGATAAACTGTGGCGCGTTTACACTAATTGCGCCGCATAAGCGCTTCAGATGAGGAGGTGAGGCCCCCTCATAACCGCATGAACCCGTATGGCACAATACAACTCAGACTGGCTTACCTGTACTTCAATCAAGTGGCAAATGCCATAGTAAGGATGGATGATAGGCTAACTTAAAAAAAAAAAATACAAAAAAAAAAATGTCAATGCCATGCGATCTATACGCGATCGACGTATTGGGCACCCCTGGGGGATAAGCTGATGACCAATCACAACAGAGCCCGCCAGCTAACCAATCAGAGCAGACTGGGCTCTGGTTTCAGACAGAGGGTGAGGGATCACATTGTGAGGACACATTGAAGCAATGGAAAGTAATCTGGTATGAAGTGATGAATTTAGTATTAGAGGATAGTTCTGCAAAACAAGCATCCCTCAAAAACACTAAACCTTGCTAGTTTCTGATGAGTGTGTACTAGGAAAAATAGATTTGGGTGAATCAGTGGATAGAGACACAGTGACACAGGAGTGAGAGTGCTGCAGGAGAACTTAACGAGAGTGAGGTCGACTTCAGCTGAGCTGCACTGAAACCCGATCGACTGGATTATTAAATCACTGTTCTGGCTCACGGCACGCCATTCGCCATTTTTTATTATTAGTCCTTGAGCTCACACACGCCATATTTACGAGGCCAATTCCAGTTTGAAAAGATGAAAATCCTTAATCTCACAAAGACAGCGACCGTTTATATTCATATTTGTATTTTGTACTTCTACTGTGAAGTATTCATGTGTTTTATTGATCGAAATGTTTTTTTAAACTCAAATTTGTGTTTATTTAAGTGACCAGGAAGTCCAGGAAGTTAATTTGTTTTGAAAAAGGTATCTTTACACTTATGTCATGTTGTATGTATAGGAGATGGTGGTTGAACTGAGAGAAGATTAAAAACAAGTAATACAAATTAGACACTCTGAATCCTCACGTTTTTTAGAAAGCAACAGCTGGTAATTTCAAAGAAGGGGAAAAAAAGAGTCTCACACACACACACACACACACACACACACACACACACACACACACACACATACATACATACAGGAAAGTGCAGGCGGCGTGGCTGTTACATGTTATGCTAATCAGCGGTTTATAAATAGGATCCTAATTGATCAGACGGAAACGGAAAGTGACACACACACACACACACTCACACACACACGCACACACACACACACACACACACACACACACACACACACACACACACACATTCATACCATCACACACGCAATCAGAGAGCAGTGTATGAGTGTTTATCAGACAACTGACGCCAGCTGTCTGTCAATAGCGGCTGCTGTTGCTAAGCAACATCGCTAAATCACTATTTTCTCTTTTCATTAGAATAACAGACAGAACCAGCAGGAGTCAGTGATGCCATTAATGTATCTGCTGGGTTATGAACAGGTGAAGTGAAGCATGCTGGGAGTTAAAGACCTTTGCAACAACTGGCCTTGTGCCTGAAAGGAGTTTTCTATATCAGGGATGAGATGGGATTTTGGCATGGATTGTGAGAAAAAACACTCAATACAAAATATGTAGAGTGTGGTTTTATTATCTAGATTAACATATACTGTATATCCTCTCATAGTTCCCTACAAAAGTTGTCCAGCTCAGAATCATAG